TGTCTCACTTAGCAGAATGCCCTCACGGCCCATCCACGTCAACAAATGACAGTGGTTCCCTCTTCGTGGCTGTGTAATATTCCACTGAATAATAATCCATTCCTCCGTTGGTGGACACTAAGGTTTTTTCCATGGTGTGACTGTTGTAAATAATGCTGCATTGAACATGAGGAAGCAGATATCCTTTTGAGGTAGGGATTTCATTTCCTTCAGATAAATGCCCAGGAGTGGAATTGCTGGATTGTTTTAGTGTAGTCAGAAACTCCACACTGCTTTCCATAGTGATCGTACGAAAATTTCAGTCTAAATTTTATTAGCCAGTGTGGTTTAGTCCTATCAGGCTGCGTCCCTAGACCTGGTGTCTTAGCCTCCAGCACTCCTGCTCTCTGGTATTTTTACTTCTTTGGATTCAGGGATGGTGCTTCAAGAAGACAGGTGTGTGGGTTCAGAACCATGCCACCAGACGGACTGTCGGTAGGGAAAGATGTATAAAGAGCTGAATGTCACCTTGCAACAACACTCAGCTGTGGGGAACGGGCAGGCCGTATTCTCCTAAAATGATGGGGACCCCAGTTCCATCACGGGCAGAATAGACCACGTCCTTTTGAAGGAAAGGCCATCTTCTGCACAGCACATTCTAACATTTCGGTGGAAAACATGCTTCTCCATTCTGGTTAAATTTGTGTCCATTCTCTTTATCTTCCAATGGTCATGCAGAAGAGGAATTTTTAAAATAACAAAACTAAGCTTTCACTCAGCAAAGAGTTAAGTACTTTGGCCCATCTGTTCGGTGTGAGTGGTACAGCAGATAAGAACAGCCACTCCCCACCTTGTGGGACTAAGTCCACCTTGCTGGGTGTGAAGAGAGTCAATACCCCTGCACAGCTCTGTCCTAACCGTGATGTGGGGGTGGGGGTGGGCGTGGGCAGGTTTACAGCCCACCCGATCTTAGAGGGAAAGCACCAGATCAACACAGAGGATCTGTTTGCAAATCTTTAGCTGGACATACTTCCATAGTCTTAGTGCTCAGTTTAAAAAAAAATGCATGGATAGGGGCGCCTGGGTGGCTCGGTCGGTTGAGCGTTGAACTTCAGCTCAGGTCATGATCTCGCGGTCTGCGAGTTCGAGCCCCGCGTTGGGCTCTGTGATGACCGCTCAGAGCCTGGAGCCTGCTTTGGATTCTGTGTCTCCCTCCCTCTCTGCCCCAACCCCACTTGTGCTCTGTCTCTCTCTGTCAAAAATAAACATTAAAAAAAATTTTTTTAAATACATATATACATGTACAATCTGCAACAGCATATTCTTTCAATGTTTCCTTTTCTCCTGCGCCAAGTAGTGCCTTTGATATATGTAGATCATTTTAATTAAAAGATTCTCAGACCTCTCGTCATCATATTAAATTTAGTGAAAACAGGAACAAATTAAAATGAGCATGGCAAGATAATCAGTCTACATTTATTTGCTTCGCGGTCTACTTTGCTGACGATCCATGATGCTCTTGGATTTTTTTTTTTCCAGCTTACCACCACACTTTCAAGTAAAACAGTTTTTGCACTGTGACCTTTTTATCCCTTGTTGGGCCAACAGGGAAGAAAAAAAAAAGATTTATTGTGCCGCATACATCCAGTTACTGTTAAGTTGGGGAAGAACCGCCGCGGAGCACTTTGCAAGCCGAGCCAGCTGGGCAAGGTTTGAAGCGCCACCTGGTGGCCGGACGGAGCATCTGTGTAACTGGTGGGCACAGGCGTGCTCTGAGATGGGAGAGGAGGGAGAAAAGAACACCCCGCTCTTTCTCCTTTACTGTTCAACGTGAGCGCTCCTGAAAGATTGATTTTCTTTTTTTTTTTTTATTCATTTTTCCTCGCCCTTGCTTTTCAGGTCGACGCTGCTGTGACCCCAGAGGAGCGCCACCTCTCCAAGATGCAGCAGAATGGATACGAAAATCCAACTTACAAGTTCTTTGAGCAGATGCAGAACTAGACCACCGCCACAGCAGCCTCTCGAGTTGGACAGCAGAAACCATTGCTTCACGACCCATCGGTGTTCATTTATAGAATAATGTGGAAAAGAAACAAACCCTCCCGTTTTCTTCTTTACTCATTATCGCCTTTTGACAGCCGTGCTGTAACACAAGTAGATGCCTGAACTTGAATTAATCCACAAATCAGTAATGTATTCTCTCTCTTTACATTTTGGTCTCTACATTATTAATGGGTTTCGTGTACTGTAAAGAATGTAGCTGTATCAAACCTAGTGCATGAATAGATTCTCTCCTGATTATTTATCACGTAGCCGCTTAGCCAGTTGAATATTATTCTTGTGGTTTGTGACCCAATTAAGTCCTACTTGAAATATGCTTTAAGAATCGATGGGGGATGCTTCATGTGAACGTGGGACTATAGCTGCTTCTCTTGCCTAAGTATTCTTTTCCTGATCACTATGCATTTTAAAGTTCGGCATTTTTAAGTATTCCAAATGATTTCGAGAATTTTTTTTTTCCATGATTGCATTTTACTGTACAGATTGCTGCTTCTGCTATATTTGTGATATAGGAATTACGAGGATACACATTTATTTCTTTGTGCCTGTTTTATGTGCACACATTAGGCATTGAGAATTGAAACTTTTTTGTCCATGTATCTTTGGATCTTTGATAAAGAAAAGAATCCCTGTTCATTGTAAGCACTTTTATGGGGGGGGAGGGGGGCGGGAGTGTTCTGCTGGCCTCAAATTACCAAGAATTCTCCCAAAAAATTTTCCGCAGGACGATTGTACAGAATCATTGCTTATGACCATGATAGCTTTCTACACTGTATTACATAAATAAATTAAATAAAATCACCCTGGGCAAGAGTTTTCTTTGAAGGATAACTATGGATGTTAAATATTCACAGTAATTGGGGGAGGGGGGAGCAGAAAGAGGCAGATTCAGTTTCTTTTAACCAGTCTAAAACATTTTATTTATGATAGCAAAAGAAAGTGAGAGGGGAAGGGGCAAAATCAGGGAATGGGGAAGTCCTGCCTGGACAAACCCTTTTAAGATTTGTCTTCAATTTGTATAAACTGGTGTTTTCATGTAAATAAATACATTCTTGGAGGAGCGCCATTGTGCTGGTGTGAATGATTCCATGGTAACCACCGTTTGACCATGTAGTCCTTAAAGCCTGGTGAGAAACCTTCTGACATAATCTGCTCTTGGACATCCAACAGATTTGTATCTTAAGTGCAAGGTATCTGAGTAGGAAACATGCATCTTCCAGTGCTAGTAAAATACCTCATTGATCTAATTCAGTTTTTAGCTTGGTCCAAAGTATGTTTGCTGCTGTATCTTGGTCCTCAAGTTGGTCTCTGTCGTAGTCTGTTCGGACCACCATAATAAAATACCGCAGACTAAACAACAGAAATTTACTTTTCGCAGTTCTGCAGATTGGAAGTCCCGGGGCAAGGTGCCAGCACGGCCGTGTGAGGACCCTCCGGGTTGCAGATTTCTCATTGTACAAGGTCACTGGTCCCATTTTAAGGATGCTCATGACCTTAGTCCCCTCCCAAAGGCCCCACCTCCTGGTAGGAGCACACTGGGCATTATAATTTCAACACAAGAATTGGGGGAGAGGGGACACACATTCAGACAGACCATAACAGTCCCAAATAAGAGCTGAAGAGAGAAGCTCCAGGGAGTAAAAACTAAGACAAGCTGATGGCTAGCTCTAAAGCAGATCTTCTGAATGCTGACACAACTGACATTTTGGAAGGAATCCTTCCTTGCTGGGAGTCTGTCCTGAGCACTGATGGATTTCTGGTCTGTACTCACGAGATGCCAGGAGCACTCCCCACGTGATAATCACAAATGTCTCCAGACATTGCCACGCGTCCCTTGGGGGGAACTAAATCGCCCCCATTTACGAACCACAGCTCTGTAGCTTTTTTTTTTCTTTTTTTTTTTTTTTGAGATAGCATTAGTGGGTGGGAGGCAGAGAGAGAGAGAGAAAGTCCCCAAGCAAACTCCACACTCAGCCCGGAGCCTGACACAGGGCTCAATCCCACCACCTGAGTCAAAATCGAGATTTGAGTGCTCAACCGAGCCACCCAGGCACCCCTGTAGCTATTTTAAAACAATGTCCTGGGCACATGATTTTTAGTTGGAGAGCCTGTCCCATCTGCTATCCCAAAGGTCTAAGAACACATTGATTGACCTGGTGTTTTTGCTGTGTTGTGCTTGGAACCAGGTAAGCACGTGCATCAACCTTCCCATTTGAGCTCTGGATTTAACCTTTTAAACCAAAACACGAAACACAGAATTTTAAATTCGTTTCCTCACGTCACTGTGCTCTAAGAACAGACTCCATTAAAACTCGCCCGAGTGAGGGCGCCTGGGTGGTTCAGTGAGATAGATAAGTGTCCGACTCTTGATTTCAGCTCAGGTCGTGATCTCATGGTTCTTGAGTTCGAGCCCTGCGTCAGGATCTGTGCTGACAGCACGGAGCCTGCTTGAGATTCTCTCTACTTCTCTCTCTCTCTCTCTCTCTCTCTCTCTCTCAGAATAAGTAAATAAACATTAAAAAAAAAAAAAAACTCGTCTGTGTCCTGTTCTCTTGTGAACAAAACAACTCTCCCCCTTATCCTGTTAAGGTCAAGTAGACGTGAAGGCTATATGAAGGTGTGTTAAGGTATGACCATTTGGGTATAAGCTGCAATTCCATTTTGCCTGGCTAGAAGGTGGCCAACGGGGGGGAAGTTAGTCCTAGTATGACGGTACATTTCTCATGACACTAATGAATTAAAACCGAACTTTCTCATAGGTATGGAATGTTATTCCCAGGCAGGCTTCATTCCCAATAACTGCAAGCTTTAGTTTTGATCATTTCAGAGCTAATGAGGAAATTTTTAAAGCAGAGAGAGAGAGCTTAGAGAGCTATATAGATCGAATTTATGAAAAGAAATGATACTGCCTTATAGTCTTGGTTCTCAGATTGAGGTATAATGAAAGGATTCTCCAGATGGTCTGGGGATTAATCAATAGGTAATTTATCCAGCCCAAAGATCAATGAGATCTTGGGGGGTGGCGGGGAGGGTTGCATGACCGACCTGATGGGTGAGGGATGGCCTCTCAACACGCTTTTCATTTGCATTTAGTTTATGATGAATAAAACTTGATATGCTCAAGGGCCATTTTGTATTTCTGAATTTTCTCTTTACATCTTTTTGTTTGGGGCTTGAAATCTATTTTGCCATCAGGATTGCAGTCCCTGCTGTCTTACTGTTTCCATTTGCCTGATAAATTTTTGTCCACCCTCTTTATTTTTAGCCTTGTCAATTGCTGCATTTTCAGGGCATGCCATGTACACAGCACAGAGCTGGGTTTTTGCTATACGCGCCAATTTGGAAGTCTTTTTGGTTTAATAGGCAAGTTAGACCCATTCGGTTTTATGATATGACTATGTTTGCTCTGAGTTCTGTCAACTGTTGTAGTTACTAAGTATTATATTTAATGTGTCTCTATGGAAGGAGGATTCTTACCCGCGTGTGTGTATGCGTGTGTGTGTGTGTGTGTGTGTGTGTGTGTGTGGTTTATAGGAAGCGTATTTTTATTCTAGTGGTTACTTTTTTACAAATGATTTTTGCAGTGCTCGTAAATCCCTTTTTTTCTTAACCTTTACTAGCTGTCTTTTCCAAATGATGTTCTTTGATCCCTTCCCACTGTCAACACAACAGTGAATGGTCTTACCCTACCCTCTCCCTTTTCTTTCCCTTCTCCCATTTTGCCAGTTGTTATTTGTTCTATTTATTCAGACATAAATGTTTATCTATTTTTCTTCAATCCTGATCCCACCCGATTTTAGTCTCTACAGTGGCATATGTGAAATGCTCTCCACCAGTCTTGTCCCCAGACATCTTTTGGTTGGATGAAGCTCACCCTTCTAATTAGAAACTGTTAGAATTCCTCAGCAAGAGTGGCTAAAATGAACAAATCAGGAGACTACAGATGCTGGCGAGGATGTGGAGAACCGGGAACCCTCTCGCACTGTTGGTGGGAATGCAAACTGGTGCAACCGCTCTGAAAAACAGTGCAAAGGTTCCTCAAAAAATTAAAAATAGATCTGCCGTGTGACCCAGAAATAGCACTGCTAGGAATTTACCCAAGGGATGCAGGAGTGCTGATGCATAGGGGCACTTGGACCCCAGTGTTCATAGCAGCCCTTTCAACAATAGCCAAATTATGGAAAGAGCCTAAATGTCCATCAACTGATGAATGGATAAAGAAGATGTGGTTTATATATACAATGGAATACTACTTGGCAATGAGAAAGATTGAAATGTGGCCATTTGCAGCAACGTGGATGCAACTGGAGGGTATTATGCTACGTGAAATAAGTCAGGCAAAGAAAGACAGATACCATATGTTTTCACTCATATGTGGATCCTGAGAAACTTAACAGAAGACCAGAGCGGGGGGGAAAGGGGGGGAAAAAAAGTTACAGAGAGGGAGGGAGGCAAACCATAAGAGACTCTTAAATACTGAGAACAAACTGAGGGTTGATGGGGGGTGGGATGATCACTGGGTGTTGTATGGAAGCCAATTTGACAATAAATTATATTTAATAATAAAAAAAAAGAATTCCTCAGCAAGAGCATGTGTGAGGGGCACCTGGCTGGCTCAGCCAGTAGAGCATGTGACTCTTGATCTCAGGCTTATGAGTTCAAGCCCCTCTACACGTTGGGTGTAGAGGTTACTAAGAAATTAATTAATTAATTAAAATAAAAACACATGGACCGTATCTCTAGAGTCCTAACACATTCAAAACTGATCTTTACGACCTTGACACTTGAAAGGCAGCTTCTTTATCCTTCAGTGTCTAGAAAAATGCTGCTCTACTGTTTCTTTGCTTCGTAATGTTATTTTTGAGAAATCCGAGGCCGTCTACTTCCCTTTCCTTTGTTAAGTGTTTTCATTTTTTGCCTAGAGGCTCTGACAATTTTGTTCCTTTAAAGTCTAATAATTCAAAGTTGATTATACGGGGTCAGTTTTCCAGGTAACCCCCGGGACTCTTTCACTGTGTGGATTCAGTTCCTTGTTTCTGGGAACTTTTTCTTGGATTACAGTCTTAATTATTCTGTTCCATAATTTTATTTTCTTTTTCAGATATATCATTAGCACACACTTTGGGGCTCCTTTGCCTCACTTCCATTTCAACCTCTTTCTGATCCTTTTTATGTATTTGTTGTCTCATGTTCATTTCTCTTGGTTGTTTCCCTTCTTTTATTCGGTTCCCTTCATTAAGTTTTTATTTGAACCCATTCTCCCGCGGGCACCTCGTGACCTGTTCTTTATCACTGATACAGTTCTGTGATTTTCCTCCTCCGTCTTTCCTAAATTCGATCAGCTCTTGTTTCATTTCTTCCTGATTTTTTCTTGATCTCTCTACTTAGTTTTTCTATTTCTGATCCGGGGCATTTTCCATCTTCCCAGATGCATGGTGCAGACTGTTTAATTGAATCTTGTGTTGCGTGTTTTCGGTTCGTATTCATGTCTGGGCAGGTGCCTGGTTTAGAGCACATTCTTCTGTCTGTCCTTTCATGGATGGCGTTGGGAGGGCAGGACGCGATGTGTCTTGTTCCTGCTTTCTGTAGGATCCTCCATTTCGCTCATTTCCTTCTTTCCCTTCATTGCCTGTCTCCCAGGAGCACCCCCTCTTCTCCATATTTCATTCTCCTGCAGATCCATGGCTTCTGCAAGTCACCCGCTCTGGTCCTGCACACTTTGAGACCCCTCTCTATAGCCAGGGAGATAACGCTACCAATCCCCCTCTCTGTTCGTTATTTTTGTATATGTTCTTTCACTTTCTCTGTTGAGGGTGGTTTTGCCTTTTTTCCCCCCTCAAACTCCCTTGCTTCCCTCAAGTCTTTCCCCAGGATTTCCAGACCTCTCTCTGCCCCACTCTGCACCCACCCATTGGTTCGGGGTGGCTGCAGCAAGCCAGCAGAGGACATGCTGTTGGCATTGATTTTGATTTGTTTCCTCTGCTTACTCACAATTGGAAGGTTGCAGTTTCTCTTCCTCTCAATAATGCTGAAGAGGGAGAGTCAACCAGCATTATGGGGA